CTGCCTCCGCCGCGCTCCGTCCGCGACGAAGGTGCGTGACGGCGAGGTGTGGCCGTCGAGAGAACACAAGCGTGGCGGGATGACGCGGATGAGGTGGGCGTGGTTTGCGGAACTAACGAGGGGCAAACAAAGGCGTGGGCGTACGGGCGGGTGGCGGACGTGACCCCCGAGGGCGGGAAAAGCCGACAGACTAAATTCAGCGAGGGGAAAAATCGCAAAAAAAAAGAAAAAGAATGTTAAGAAATCGCGCCACAAACCGGAAGCTGAATACTCCGAGCCACCGGTCGCGTCAGGGCGATCAGATTAAAAAAAAAAAAATCCACTCGCAGAAACCAACTGTTAAATCCCTCGCAAGAGTAAAAGATAAACACTCAAACAAATGAGCCGACTGGGAAGTTGAAATCGGCGGCAAAAGAATCGAATCGGAACCGCGGGACGACAAACACAACGCACCTACGACGCTCCTCCGCGAGTGGGGGCGCCACACGCACTGAAGACCCGGGAAAAAAATAATAAAAATCCCACGACCCACGTCCGTTACTCATGCTTGAGATAAGATAATAACTCCCTGGTCTTATCTGAAGTGCTGGAGGGGGGAGGGGGAGGGATAACGGGAGGGGAGGGGAAGGGAAGGCTAAGGGAAGGGAAGGGAAGGGAAGGGAAGGGAAGGGAAGGGAAGGGAAGGGAAGGGAAGGGAAGGGAAGGGAAGGGAAGGGAAGGGAAGGGAAGGGAAGGGAAGGGAAGGGAAGGGAAGGGAAGGGGAGAGAGGAAGGGAAGGGAAGGGGGAGGGATAGAGATAGAGATAGGGATAGGGATAGGGATAGGAGAGTAGGGGAGAGGGGAGAGAGCAAAGGGTAAGGGGCAAGTGGCAGCGCAAGGTAGGACAAGGCGAGGGGAAAAGGGGGGGGAGGGGAGGAGGCTGCCACACAGTACCCCGTTTCCTCTTTCCGGCCCCACTCGTCATAGCGAGAAAGGGTCCGCCCAAATATTCCGATCGTTTCCGCCGCCTCTCCCTATGCACATCGACATCCGAGAGAATCCACACGCCAGACACAAAAACAAAGCACTACATAAGTAAAAATGTAAAAAAAATAAATAAATAAATAAAAAACACGCGTAAAAAAAGTAACAACAACAATAAGAAAGGAAAAAATCCTGCGACACAATTATGTGCCCTGTCAGGTGGGGGGAGGGGGGGAGGGGGGGGGGTTATCATCAACATCATGTGTCTGCAACAGGACTGGATGGCATTACCTTCCCTCCGTCTTCCTCCTTCCTGCATGACGGAAAATTCCCTCGGTTTAAAATCGAGGGGAAAACACTCCCCCCTTTCCCTTCACTCCTTCCCGACCTCCCGTCTCCTCTTTCCCCCTCCTCCCTCTCCCCCTTCCCCTCCTCCCCCTACCCCCCTCTCCCAGCCACCTTGTGCCGACAAGCTCGTATTATCTTCCCCGCATCCCTCTCTGTAACGTAAGGGCCACGCAGCGCCACCGCCCACGCGCGTGCCACTTCTCTCGCACACGGCACTTCACGCCCACCACAGCCCCACGGCTTGCTTTTCCCCCCTCCCCCCTCCCCTTCTCCTCTCCCGGCGGCACATGACTCGCGCACGCGAAACTGTTCCTTGCTCTTTTTCCCTTTTCACACTTCAATCTCTTCTCTTCTCTTCTCTTCTCTCTCCCTTTCTTCCATGCGTCTTTCTGCGCCACCCATAGTCTCGTTTGATTCCCATTCCCCATTCCGTCTCTCCTCCCCTTCCACTATCTCTCTTTTGCCCTTTCTCCTTTTCTCCCTTCTACCCTGTCCTTTACCTCTCCTTCCCACCTCTCCCTTATCCTTCTTTCTCTCTTATCCTCATCCTACGCCCTTACCCCTACACCCCTTCCTCCCTTTTCCTCCCTACCCCTACCTACTACCCCCCCCCCCGCTCCCAAATCACCCGTATAATTCTCAGGTGCGATTCGCCCGTCCGCCCACGCTGCTTCCTCCCCCCTCCCGCCCGCCCGCCCGCAAACCCGCACGCCCACCCGCACGCCCACCTGCCCAGGGAGGCCCACGCTGCTTCCTCCCCCCCGCCCCGCACGCCCGCACGCCCACCTGCCCAGGGAGGCCCACGCTGCTTCCTCCCCCCCACCCGCACGCCCGCACGCCCACCTGCCAGGGACGACCACCCATTCGTCACAACACCCGCGCGCGACTGACCCCCCCCCCCCCCCGTCGAGGAAATCGCAAGCACGAGTGAGTGACGCGACTTCATGAAAGCACAACAGCGACGTGTTTTCGACGCATCTCCCTGACGGCCGTTCGGTGCTCTGGCTGTCTACGTGCTGTCTATGCTAATGCGCGCGCATTCCAACTCGCGCCCATGAACAGATCCACACACAAAAAATGCATGTGTGCGGGTGTGTGTGTATTTGTTAGACACACGCACACACATATATACATACATACATACATACATACATACATACATACATACATACATACATACACACATACACACACACACACATAAACAGAGGTATACATATACATGTATGTACATGTATATGTGTGCGTGCGGGGATGCGAGTACAAAGATATGCACATAGAGCTAAAACGAGGGAACCAGGAACAAGAGGGGGGGGGGGGTAAAACAGAAGCCAAACAATTAAAGGGCCGACCCCGCCCCTGGACCCCCCCCCCCCCCACATTCCTCCTATTCCATCCGCCCTTTCCAAGATAACCCAAACACTAACAAACAAACAAACGCACTCAAGCAGGCATACAGACGCCCACGAGAAATAAATCCCGACGCACAACGCCCTCCTTCATGCCATCAGCTCCCCCCCCCCCCCCGTCTCCCCATGCCCGTCCTCATCCTTCTTCTTCTTCTTCTTCTTCTTCTTCTTCTTCTCTTCCTCCTACTTCTCCTTCTCCTTCTTCTTCTCTTCCTCCTACTTTTCCGTCTCCTTCTCCTTCTCTTTCTCCTCCTCTTTCTCTTTCTCTTTCTCGTTTTTCTTCTCGTTCTTCTCCTCCTTCTCTTTCTCCATCTCCATCTCCATCTCCTTCTCCTTCTCCTCCTCCTCCTTTCATCATCTTTTATTTCTCTCATCACCATCATCATCACCATTCTGTTCCCCTTCCCTAACAAACTACTAAATACATGCTACCCCCTACCCTCCCCCCTCCCCCTCCCCCCACCCCTTACGCCCACCTCTGTGCCACTTATAACATCACAAGAGCCTACATCCCCCCCCCTTCCCCCCTCTTACACCCCACCCCCCAACCCCCCTTCTTGCTGGGCCTCCAAATCCCGTGATCTGCAATGCCGTGCACCATCGATCAACATTTTCACCTCAAGGAGATACGGGACATGCAGGGAAAAATAAAAATATTATGAAGGGGATACAAAGATGGCAATCATTAATAAGAGTGAATAATCAAAGAGATAAATAAGTAAATAAATAAGTAAATAAATAAATAAAATTGAATATATATAAAAACACGTGTGTGTGTGTGTGTGTGTGTGTGTGTGTGTGTGTGTGTGTGTGTGTGTGTGTCCGTTTGCGTGTAGATACAAGGACAATGAACAAAAATATATAACCTCAAAAGGAACAGATAAACAACAAATACAAACAATCGGCACCACGTGACGGGGGGGGGGGGGGGGGAGATGGGCGTGACAGTTTCATTCTAATTAACTTTTAGGACTTAATTATATTTCTATAATTATCTCTTCTTTTTCTTCCTCCTCCTCTTCCTCCTCCTTTTGTCTAGAAGAGGATCATGGCAATTACGACGCTATGGCCTCCTCTTCCTTTTTTTCTTGTTGTTGTTCTTGTTCTCACTTCAAATCCTCCCCTCCTCTCCCTCCTCCCCCCTCCTCCTCCTCCTTCTTCTCCTTCTCCTCCTCCTCCTCCTCCTTCTTCTCTTCCTCCTCCTCCTCTCAATCTCCCTCTCCCTTCTCCCCCCCTCTTTCTCTCCCTCTCTCTCCCTCTCTCTCCTCTCTCCCTCTCTCTCCTCTCTCCCTCCTCCCCTCTCTCCCCCCTCTCCCCCTCTCTCTCCTTCCTGCTTTCATTGTCACTGAACAGTATTGTGGTTTCTTTGATTGGCCTGTTCACAGCACACACGGAGATCCTGCCCGCTACAGCACTGGCGAGGGAGGTAGGGATGCAGTGAGGAAGAGAAGATAGATGGGGTGCTGAGGAGGAGGAGGAGGAGGAGGAGGAGGAGGAGGAGGAGGAGGAGGAGGAGGAGGAAGAGGAGAAAGGAGGAGGAAGAGGAGGAGGAGGAAGAAGAAGAGGAGGAGGAAGAAGAGAAGGAGGAGGAAGACGAGAAGGAAGAGGAAGAAGAGAAGGAAGAGGAAGACGAGAAAGGAGGAAGAGGAAGAAGACGAGAAAGAAGGAGGAAGAGAATGAAGAGACAACTTAGAAGAAGAGAGACAGGAAAAGTCCCACAAACAGGGGATGGGAGGAACAAGAAGAGAGAAAAAAAGGCAGAACAGGATATGGAGGAGGAGGAGGAGGAGGAAGAGGAGACAGGGGGATAAGGAGGTAGAGGAGAGAAAAGGGAGAGCAGCATCAGTAACACGAGAAGCAACTGCAGCATGAGATAGACAGTACGGAGATGGGGAGAGGGTAATGGAGATGATGATGGGTGAAGGAGGGAAGAAGGAGAAGGAGGAAGTGGAGAAATAGGAGAAGGAAATGGAGGAGAAATAAGTGGAGGAGGAATAGGATAACGAAATGGAGGAGAAGGAAGTGGAGGAGGAGGAGGAGGAGGAGGAAGAGGAGGAGGAGGAGGAAGAGGAGGAGGAGGAAGCAGAGAAAAAGAAAAAGAGTAGGAGGGGGAGGAGTGGGAGGAGAAGAAACAGACTGAAGAAGAGCAGAGAAGGTGGGGGGGGAATCCTCACTATCACCCTCTCGGAGGGGAGGGGATGATGTGCATCGGCCGGCATCTCCGGGCGATGGGGGCAGGGGAGGGTTAGGGCAGGGGAGGGGCAGGGGAGGGGGGGGCGGGGCGAAGGAAGGGGCGGGCCACCCACGGCGCGGCGGCCGAACACCGACAATCAAACTTATCGCTTCCGTCAACCTACTCGGAACTTCCGCAACTTCCCCGACTCTCGCGCACCGTCTAATATCTCTCTCTCTCTCTCTCTCTCTCTCTCTCTCTCTCTCTCTCTCTCTCTCTCTCTCTCTCCTCTCTCTCTCTCTCTCTCCCTCCCTCTCCCTCTCTCTCACGACACTGTATTTGCTTCCGCCTCTCTCCCTCCCCCCTCCCCTCCCCTCCCCTCCCCTTCCCATCCCCCAACCAACTCCAAACGATTCGCGAAGCCACCCGCACACGCCCCCAATTTCTCCCCCTGCTCCCCCCCACCCCCATGCCCCCCCCTTCCCCCTCCCTCCCCCCACCCCCTTCAACGGCGAAGATCTTGCTCCTAATACTCCTCCTCACTCCATTCCT